AATGCCTGGGGACAGACCTCATGACATAAGCAAGGCGCCTAAGCTAGGAGCTCTGCATGCTTGACAGCTTTTTTCCCTGGGGTCTATGCAATACCTGGCCTCTCAGAGGAGAGGTCTCTGGGGCCAGAGAGGCACTGCCATACCAGGAATGCTGTTTGGACATGCGAAGGGATAAGGAGGAGGAACTCAGAAGCCCAAGAAAGAGAAGGAGGTTTCTCCTTCCCAACGCCGCTGCTTACTCTAGAGGCCCATGGTCCCCTCCGTGGGTCGATGGATTCTGCGGTCTGGCACCTTTGATGATGATATCCATCAGGCAGAGCAGAACTTCAGGGAACCAAGCCTCCAGCACCACGGGGCACTCCTCGGACCGGACTATCCTCCCAATGAGACTGATCGCGCTGGCCTGAGGAGAAAAGGAGAGTCTGCCTCACCAATAGAGCTGCAAAGGAAAGTTGGCTGGAGGGAGTGGTTGAAATCTGTGTGTTCAAGAGGACCACCTCCTTGCGAGCTGGACTCTTACTGTAGCTGCAGGAAGAGGATGGCTGGACTGTTCCTCTCCTCCTGGAGGCGGCCAAGAGACCTCCTTCACCTTGGCCAAGAGCAGGGACCGGATTGCATCTCTACTGCAGCACGGAGAGGTGACAATGGCGCAGAGCAGCTCGCCACAGGTGCTGGAAAGAAAATCAGAAATTGGACCCTTCTGCCCATCCCAGTTCTACAGGGAGAAATACAGAAGGGTCAGCCTGATGTTGGAAGGGTCGGCCTAGAACTCGAGGGAGGAGGTACCTATACCCCTGCCTACCTCCACGGGAGCTCTAAGAGGCCATACGTGACCCGCTTGATGTTCTTCCGGGTCACGACATGTAGGGAGGACAGGACCTGTCTTATTTCGAGAGAGGTAGTAGACGTCAGGGTGCATCTTTTATCCAGAACCTCCTGCATATGCAAGAGAGAAAGAAGCAGGTCAGGTCAGGTCAGGGCAGGGCAGGGCAGGGCAGTGCGCTGACGCGTTTCTCAGAGCTCTGGGGACTGCCCAAGCTGCATTTGATTAGCGGTGGGTCTAGAGGAGAGAAGACCACCAGAATACTCCCCTGGATAGGGGGAGTTCAGAAGATGAACCACAAGAGCCGCGGACATTGTTCCTCCTGCCTTTCCTCGCTTCCACCACGGGAAAGCCAGTGAGTAGAATAACGAAGGCGGCTGGGAAATATCGTGCTTTACAAATGCAGAGAGCCTCATGAATGAGAGACGTTAGCGCTGCAGTCTGGCGTCTTAGATCGCTTTAGAAGAGGAAGGGGGAATTTTTTTTTTCTACTCTCCTCCTCTTTGGATTACTTCTTTTAAAAATTTTTTTGCTTTATTAATATGTAAGATCTATCTCTGGGCTACATGTTCAGATGCTGGTGAGTTACTCTTTTATTCTCTGTCATGGAATGTAACGGGTGGAAATTGAGAAATGGACTTTGCTACGTTATGGAAACCTTGTGTGGAATTTAAATAGAGGATTCTACAAACTGTTAACGGTTTGCCTTTTTTATGGGATTATAATTTTTTCTTTTTTCCCTTTTGCTTTTCCTTGCTTCTAAATTTATATTGGATTACGAGTCTGCTGTTGGATTTCTATAGCTGAGTGTTCCTTTTATTTTTTTCTGTTCATGTTGAACTTAAAAGCTTGAGAATTGAGAATTGTTTATATATTTTATTATCTATGTTTGGGAACAATAAGAGACAGCTT